GAGACTCTTTTCCTTTGCACGCTACACATGTAGGACACCACGATGCGTAAGGCAAGTGTGTGAGATTATGCACTGCAACTTCTTCTGGCTTTGGCTGTTTTGGTACCTTGAGAGGTTCTGCTTCAATGTACTCCTTGTACTTCTTCTGAGCTGCGGTAAGCTCCATGTGCCTTTCTGCTTCCATGATCGATCTGCTGAGTCTTCTAAGAATGTCCTGCTTAGAACCAAACTTTGAAACTCCAAGTTCCTTGCAAAGTTCCTTCAGGGCCTTGAGGCTGTTCTGCTGGTTGTACTCATGACCGTTGAATGTAAATGACAGTTCTCCTGCAAGTTCGTGCCTGTGCGCTGGTGCTTGGGCCTCTGAGGTCTCTTCCTGTTCTTCTTCTTCCTGTTCTGGAATCGTGTCCAGTTGGTGAACCTTCTGCTTTGGTTTCCTGGCCTTGGGGTTCACTGGTTCAATGAGTTCAAATACACTGCGTCCTGTCCAAGATAAACCTCCTAGTGGTTCTGGGTCTCTGTGAGGCTCATCCAAAGTCCAAAACTTATCAATCGGTTCTTCTCCATAAGTGTACCTGTCTGGTTTGAGATTTCCAATATCCACTGGAATGTCGTTGGTGTCTCGAGGATTGAACAAGGTCTTTCTCAACGAGTTGTGGTACCTAGTGAGTGTTGTACCATCCATGCTGATTGACCATGCATCTTCAGCGTACTCTTCGAACATCTTACGATCTTCATCTTCCTTAGGTGTACCTATGAGGGTCAATGGAAATTCCTTGAGCGATACTAGCGTCAGTGTTCGATACTCTTTGCTGCCGTCAAAGATTGTTCCGAATGGTTCTTCAAGTTCCTCGAACATGATGCTGTGATGCAACAAATACCACTGGTCATCGTCCTCAATAAGTACTGCTCTGTACGCAAACTTTCCTGGTGGAAACATCAAGTAAGTATCAACGTGCTCTGAAGTTCCTAGGCTGTAGTGGACTTGGTAAGGGTCTCTCCAATTGGTCCAACCAACACGCTGTTCTTCAATGAGTTCCTTCAGGTTCTCACACAAGTATATGGGAATAGGCTTGGCTTCTGCTTCCCAGTTGACTGCTCTCACAAAGGCTTTTGTCGTAAGTGAGTTGTTGTTGTAGTTCACTGCGATCTTGGTTGTTCCTTCTGTGAGGAAAGTGCCTGTAGCTGTTCCATCTCTGAACTCCCAACCTTTCTTCAACAGTTTACCTACTGCCAAAAGAGGGTGCACAACCGATGAAATCAAGAACACTTCTTAAACCTTCACAATTTTTTCCTTGAACGTCCCGAAACTCAACTTCAATGATCCTTTGGTCTGAAACCTTGATACGAGATCCTTGTGCGTCTCGCAAAACTACCTTAGTAGTGCTGGGTGTTTTCCTTCCGTACTTCTTCATCCACATTGGTGCCAACGAGATGTCGGCTCCAGAATCCAGCACTACCTCGATCTCTCGAGTCCTTGAGTTCCTTGCTGCACGGACAAACCTGGTGCTTGTTCCTGAAGGTGCTGTTCCTTCAACTCTGTTCCTCCTGGGAGGATGGTGACATCCATACTCGCATTCCTGCATGTTCGGGTGCCAAGGTGCTACATGACATCCGTTGGGGCATTCGTAGTAGTAATATCCACGATCTTGCGTTCCTACTGGGGTTCCTTCTACATGCCACTGCCACCATGCATCATCACTCACCTCATCACAGTCCTGAAACTCATCAACCCGCAAGACTCTTCCGAAGTACTCAATCTCAATTTCCTCTGAATCTTCGCTCATCTCGAATTCCTCCGGAAAGCTTGTGGGCTCGTCTCCCATGTGATACATGGAGACCATCCTAATCACTGGTCTTTGTGTTCCTGGCTTGTTTGGCTTTGGTTTGTTGAGGTATTGTTGCTTGAAGAAGGGGCCTGAGTAGAGGTACCTGTGGTGCTTGCCTGTTCACTTTGCTTCTCGAGGTCTACGTTCCTTGCCTGGTAACCCATGTCACGCTGCTTCTGTCTACACTGCGCTTCAAAGTGTCCATACTTGTGACAGTAGTGACAAACTCCTGTAGCTGCTTGGGCTTTTCCTTTACCTTTTCCTTTGTGCCTGTACAAGCCTCTTCCTCGACCTTTGCCTTTTCCTTTGTAACCTCTGAAACCTCTACCTCGACCTTTCCAGTTGCCTCGACCTCTACCTTTGCCAAAACCTCCAAAACCTTTACCTTTGCCTTTACCGTCAAATCCGAAACCTTTTCCGAAATCCTTTCCACCTTTCTTGCCTTTACCTTTGCCTTTGCCTTTGTTATGAACATAACCTTTGCCATAGCCTTTCTTACCTTTGTACCATGCTTGATTGATGTCCATTGCTGCAAGACCACCATGGTCGTCACCTTTGTCGATCAAGTCTGTTGTGGTTCGGTGAGGTGTCCCTTGCTGAGCTGACAAAAAGTTAGTCCAACGTTCGGTTGACTCGTAGTTCACAAGGTACTGACGAAGAGCGGTGTACTGTGTCTTCTCGTCAAGATTGAGCAACAGGTGCCTTTTAACATCAGGCTTCATTCCTTGAATAAGAGTAGATACTTTCAAGTTCTCTTGTACCTTTTCTCCTGTCGCCTTCTCGTACTTCTCGATGTGTTCCTCATATTCGAGGATGTTCTCAGCAATTCCTTTGTTGTGAGCAAACCTGTAGTTGAGGATGTTGTGAAACAGTTCCAACGATCTTGCACGATTCGTTGGTTGATATTCCTTCATCAACATACGGTAGGCTTCCATACCGTTTTCCTCTCCTACGTGCTTTACAACACGGTAAGGCCTTCCTTTGGTATATAAACAAAGAACACTGTACAGGCGGCGGCTAGCTTCCTTTGCTTCTGAAGACATGTCGCTCATCTTTATCATCTTATCGTCTTTGAGGTTCCTTTCAACGATGTCCATGATCTTCACCATATTGGAATCCACTGCTCCAAGCCAGATCCGCATCCTGTTCCTGAACTCTGTCCAGGCACTCTTCTCTTCCTGCCATGTTCCTGGGGAAAACGCTTCAGGGCTTTTGATCAGCTTGTGCAACTCCACTTCTCCAGGCTTTCTTTGTTCCTTTACTGCTTTCTCCAGAGATGCTCCTATCTCCTCAAGTGTTGTTGCTGCGTTCGTGTGAGCGTCTGCTAACGCTGTCTGTGCTGCCTTCTGTTGTTCCTGCACTGCTGTAAGTGTTTCCTGAAACGCTTGTGTAAGTCCTGCTTCTCTTTGGCTTCCTGAAGCTGCTGAGCTCCTGATCTCCTCTGCTAGTGTCTGTATTCCTTGTAAGGTCTGCGCGTTGATCTCTGCAAGTGCCTTCAATGCATCCTCCATTCCTTTTGCTGCTTCAAGGTTGCTGTACACTAGTGCTGCTAAAAGTAGTGACTTGCACTGCTTCCTGTTCACTGCTTGTGCTCTCCTTTCTCCTCTTGTTTTCCTTTGGTGCTTTGAGCTTCTGCTTGCTCTTGTGAAAAACAAACTAGAATAGTACGACAGGGTGATCCAAGTAATCAGTCCCATTGGGGTTCCTAAGAACACTGCTATGTGAATTCCTTGAAATACAACTCTGTTGGAAATGACTTCCTGAACTATCACATGCACGACGTCGTGAAACTTCTTTCCTGCAGTTGCTAGCTTTTCTACGAAACTCTGAACATGTTCCTGTACAAGCTTTCTCAGTACTTCTCGCTGTTGTTTTACTAGGTACCTAGGGGCGCAGCCTGACTCAAGGCTCTCACTCTCCTGGTTCTCGGTGTTCTGGTCGCCGTTCCTGTGCTCTTCCGTGTAGTACTCGCCGGTCACGCCAACGACGCTGTAGAGCTCGTTCAGCACTTGGTTCGCACACAGCGAAGCGTACGGTACCATGACTTTTTCCTATCTCCACGAAGTCCTTGATCGTGTACGCGTTCGTGTTCCTGATCGTGTTCACGTTGGTGCCGTCGGGGTTCACGCTGCACTCGTTGTAGCATTCCTGGTAGTACTCGCCGTACACGTCGTAGTTCCTCTAGCGGTTCCGGTGCGTATTGGGCTTCCTTGTTCTGCTCGCCCACACGGCCATGAGCTCGCTCTCGTCGCTCTCCACGTACGTAAGTTCCTTTCTCCCACGGCTCGCATCCCTGGAGGATACGCCATCTCCAAATGCAAGTTCTTCCTTGACCTTCTCGCTGTAGCCAAGGGCCTGCCACGGTGTCACAACCACACTTCTTGTTCCTGGGTTCAAGGTCATCCCGCACAACGTTGCGAGGCATCCCAGGGAGAAACCAACCAGCAGCACAACACATGCTGCCAGACCGTAGCACTTCACGTTCCTGTACTCCTTCTCTTCCACCAGCACTCTGTCGGGGTAGCAGTCTGAGCACGCGTCGAAGTCTCGAGCGTTTCCTGCTGTCACGTTGTGGTTCCGAAGGTGTCCACAACCTCTGCGGTGGTACTTGGTTCCTGAACGGACTGCGATCCTGAGCGTGGGCATGGTCAACACTGTTTCTGTCTTCTTGGTCACTTGCTCATTTGCGCGCATCTGCTTCCATCCAGCAACGAGGCAAACTGCCATGGCGACGAGCATCATTGTTCCTATTGCTACGAGTAGCATCATCGCTGCCAAGGAAGTTCCTGGAGGCAGCTCCGCTACCATGTTAAAGAACGGGCTTCACTAAGGGCTCCTACCTTCACAGACTGTCGGACACTTTTGCTTTCCTGGGCACGTGTGTCCGGGGTCTCGAGCCTGTACGTCGCGGTCCGTGTACCGGCTGTTCCTGTACATTGACTACACTGCACTAGCGGTGTTACTGTTCCTGGCAAGATGTTTAACAAAGCTCCAAGCATGTAGCGAAGTCGATAGACCCCTCACTGAGTGCTGCGGCTGCGCCGGAAACCGGGGCACGTGCCTTGGGCAGTGTCGAGGTGGCTCCTGCAGAACCTGACGGTTGTGCCGGCACACTATAAGCGGGACCGCCATGACCTCCTCAGCGACGTCCCGCTGGTCGCTGAAGTGGGTTTCCTAGTGCGGGGTGGCAACATGCTGAGAAGCCGGGTGGTTGCCCCCGCACGCTGTGCCGTCACTCTTTGGCACTGCGCATCTGTGCAAATAGCGGCAGGTGGCAGGGTCCTTGCACTGCCCGCTCTGGTACCTCATGCAAAGCGTCTGACGCTTACCATCCATGAAAAGCGTAGAGAGCCACTTGCCGGGAGGTGTGGCCTGCTTGTTGTCTTTCCCTTTGCCGCCTTTGCCGCCCCTCTCGAAGCGTTCACCTTTCTCGCCTTTGCCATCGCGACCTTTACCGCCACGGCCGCCCCCCTTGCCACCTCGCCCGCGGGCTTTCCAGCTGTTGTCCGGGTCGAACTTGGGCTTGGGGGCGAACGGCCTCGGAGCGAGTAAGCTGTGCAAATCAGAGCGTACCTCGGCCACCTAGCGTTTGTTGTAAAGCTTCAGAGAGCCAAGGTGTGCGCCCTGGCATAGCGCGATGGCATTGGCCGCTAGTGACAGAAGCTGGGTGACGAGGCCGAAGGAAGCGGGGCCTTCATGTATGTCGCGGGTAGGAGCCTCGTCGAGAAAGAGATCTGTGAGGTCAAAGCGGGCCTGCTTCCTAGGCCTGACAAGGAGGCTATCTTGTTGCGCCCGGGCGCTTAAGCGGTACTTCCAAGGAATCCAGCGAACCTCCTTGTCAGAAAGCATCTTATTGGTAAGAGCCAATAAGCGGGCGCTTGGAAAGCTTTCGGCATCAAGAAGTTCAGTGGGGTAATCCTCTTCGAACCTCTTCCTAAGCGCCGCCGTTCGCTCCCCGCTCAATTTTGCGGGCCAAGCCTCCTGCCAGGAGCTAGAAAACGGTGGCGTGGCCGGAGGGGCCGGGGTGGCGGCTGTTGATCCCTCACCAAGTAGGGCACTTGAGCTGGGTGCCGCTTCAAGAGATACCATCCCCTCTGACGTTCGGCACTTGCAGACAAGTAGGCGCAGCGAGGCTTTTGTGATGAAGCGCTCAGCGGCCTCCGTGACTGAGGCTTCGGCCAAAAAGTGGTTCACCAACTCTTCAAGCTCTGCTGAAGTGGTACAGGACCGAGCAAACAAAGCAATGTCGAAGGCTGAAAGCAAGGAAGCAACAGCTGGTGGCACATTGCATTCCGCCACGAGTTGCGTGAAGTCAGCCATGATCCGGTGGCCTGAAGTGGGTGCATGAAACCACGAAGAAGTGTTGCAGAATAAAGCTGAGGCCGAGACGTTGCCAGAGGTGGTCCTGCAGCGGGGAAAATGTTTACAACGGTAAGCACCTCAGCACCTGTGGCCTGTAGCGTGGCAGCGAGAGATGCCCGGAGCGGGTGTCAGAGAGCTTGCTCGATCCAAGCGGGAGAGAAGAATGAAGAGGCATGCCGAATGGTTCAAAGCGTGAACTGACATGAACAAGCGGCTAGCGGCTTTGCCTTCTTCTTTTTCAAGCGGGAAGCGGAGCTCGAGTATGTCTGGCTTCGATGAAGCCGGGCGCTTCTTGCCCATAAGCCCAAAGCTAGGCCGCCCTTGATCAAGTTGGGCAGGCCCAAAAGTGGGCGATTCCATGCCGCAGCAAAGAAAGCGGAGGGGGGGCAGTGACAGCATTATTGGTGCTGCCAGTTGCGGCCGCTCCAGTTCCAGGACCCCCAAGCGGGCTGTTCGTCCCAGCTGGACTGGCTCTGCCCCCACTCCTCATAATTCTGGCTCCATTGTGAAGCGGCTTCCTGACGCTCTCTTCCACGGGCCCGCTTACAGTCTCTACATAAGTGGGTGGTGTGGAAGCTGTTAGAGCGGTCGCTAAATTAAATGTCGCCTGAAAGCGAGCATTAATTGGGAGCACTGCTTACGACAGGCCCAAAGCTGGACCAATTGAAGCGTGGGATGCCCTTCACTGTCATAGATGGTGTGCCCTAAGCGGCTCGCTGGGGCATCACTGTCTTGGGGGACTGCATGGTGCAAGCTCATGAAAAAACAGGGGGTGACCCTTCGAGAGGGTTATCCGTTGCTGTCGTCGCCTGTCACTGGCGGCGGGTTCAGTCTGCTGCCCATCTCGGCCGAGCATGCTGCGAGGATTTTGCGGGAACTTTTGAGGCGCGAGCTCGGTGATTCTGCTGACATCAGAAAGCTTGGAACGCACAGCTTAAAGAGGACCTTGTTGAGCTGGCTTGCTAAATATGGAACTGAACAAGGCATGAGGGCCATTTTGGGCTACCACAGCACTCACTGTGGAACGGAGTTGGTATATGCCAGGGACACGCTGAGCGGCCCATTGCGGCAGCTTGGATCCGTTGTGAGTGCTGTGGCATTGGATCACTTCCGGCCTGACAGCACGCGCTCGGGATATTTTCCCAGTCGCGAGGGTCGAGAAGATGCAGGCTTCGATCCCAATGCTCCGGACCAAGAAGAGCTTGACAGTTCTTCCAGTGGAAGTGAAGACGAGGAGGCTCCGGATCACGATGAGGTCGAGAAGGCCTGTGATGCTCTGGCTTCCTGGGAGCCTCGGCCGGGTCTTCGTGATCTGATCGGCGAGGGTCCCGTCTTCAAGCATAAGACTACGAGGGTCATTCATTTGATGGCCAGCAGTGATGAAGGTGATCGCTTTGCCTGCGGTCGCAAGCCGTCAACTAGCTACATCCAGACGGCTGTGCCTAATGTTTTGTTTCCCCTTTGCAGGCAATGCTGTCCTGACCAGGACGGGCCTTGAGTTTCACGCGAGATCGGCGAGAGGTCATTGCAACTTGAGCGGTTGTGCTTCCGGTGAATGCTTCCGGCTTGCATGGTATGTGAGGAGCTTCTGTCTTGATGCTGTGCGATTTGCAACCGTGCACCTGAGTCGATCCATGCTCTTCTTTGTTAGGACCTGTAGCTGAGTGCTTGGGTCGTGCCATGGCGGCCTCGAACTCAGAGTCCGAAGCTGTCTTCAGCGACAAGGTCAGGACCTCGGGCCTGTCGGCTGCTGACCAGACTAATGTGTTGGCTGGACTGAAGAATTTGAAACAGCTGGCATTTGTCAGCTCCTTCACTCCGGGACAAGCCGATGAGAAGCCTTTGATTGCGGCTTTGGATGCTCTAGCTGCTCTAGTCAAAAGGGACACCAGTGCTGACTTAGCTGCTCAAGCGTGCTTCAGGGCTCTTTTCCAGCAGGCTTACGCCATAGTCACCACCGAGTTTAGGCAGGCCATTGAGCGCACTGAAGACGCTCCCAGTCGGTCTCTCAGCGCGCCTGAGCGTGAGGAGCGCTACACGCGACAGGTGAAGAAGTTAACCGGGATCAACATAAAAGGCGAGACTGAACCAAGTCAGGCCTTGGTTGATCTCTGCGTGAATATATATGACTGCCCTTACACCAGAGATTGAAGCTGCGCAGTGCTTCTTTTCAGACGCCACGCGCATCATATCATCTTTGGTGCATCCGATGCTGGAAAGAATCGTGGATAGCACCTCATGGCAGCCTTCAGCTTTCCAAGCTTTAAAGATAGCTGCACTGCGAGGTGCTGGGGGAGGCGGTGGGAACCGGAAGCGCTGCGAGTAACTGTGCATTTCGGCACCTCAGGTCCGTCAAATCACCCTACGGTTTCAATGACTGCCCTTACACCAGAGATTGAAGCTGCGCAGTGCTTCTTTTCAGACGCCATGCGCATCATATCATCTTTGGTGCATCCGATGCTGGAAAGAATCGTGGATAGCACCTCATGGCAGCCTTCAGCTTTCCAAGCTTTAAAGATAGCTGCACTGCTTCCCAAACCCACGGTCATGTGTGCTCTAGGCAAGCGGTGTGGATGAGGGGGGCAAGCTGCTGACACAATTCCTTGGGATACGTAGCAGCACGCTTGGATAATAGCACGCCTTGCTTATCACGACCCCACAGGCTCGCATGTACTGTATGGCGTGCTGAACATGCTCGCCCTCGGCACATCGCTTGAATGTTGGGGACGGATGGTAACGTTCCCACCAGGGTTGTGCGCCTCCTCCAGTGGGCGCCGTATTGGCAAAAATCAACAACGGACATCCAAGCTTTAGACTGCGACATCAAAGCTTGCATTGAAGAGAACTGCCACAATAACGAACCCACCGGATTTTCAACAACCCATGGAATGTGATATCTGTTGCAAGCACGGACCGCCCGAAATAGGAACTTGAGGAGGACATTATGCTCATCGACCTTGATCTGTTCACATGGCTGGAGATCATGTAGCCCCCATGGGTATTGAGCAGATCGAAAACGACCAAGCGAAGACAATGTGTCGGTAGGAAAACCAAACCAAACACAACCATACATCCGGCATCTTAGGGATTGGAAGAAACGTTTTTGATTGCCAGCTTTAGTAAGGTCGAATCGACCTCCCATGCGAACATCCCAAGGTTCGGCAGGGCATGTCAGTCTACGAACTGCCCGTGTCAATACACGACTGCCCGCAAAGACCTCACAGAAGATCTTCACTTCACAGGCGGGGGCAGCGCCATCGCAGAGCTTGCCAGAGCTGCTTGGAGATGGGTTTCCGCCTGCCGGCAAAATCCCAGAACAGCCACCGGAGTTCGAGCCAAAGCCTGTTGAACCCGCCCCGATTTCTCGTAGCGGCGCACCGATGATGCTGATGCCCATCTCCCCCGCTTCTGAATTTCCTGGAGAGTGCGACGTTGGAGCATGGCATCTCGTGAAGCCCGACATTGGTAGGTGCTCAGGTCTTCGTGACCCAGTCCCGTAGCTGCCACCGCGATGTCGAAATCTCGTTTGAGATCCGGGAGCGTCAGGTCGAAGACGGACTGTTTTGGCTTTTTGTGTCGCAGATGCTGTAACAGATGTGGGAGGAAATCCACATCCATCTTGTCCATCACGACCGTGTCGTCCGAGGCTCCGACCTTGGTGACTTCCTGCCGTGACGACGGGCGAATGATAAGGCATGCGTGTTCGCAACCTCGGCTTCCCGGAATAGGTGGGACCACATCCTCCACTCGGAGGCTGACTATTTCTCCAGGGCGTGCATAAGAATGGAACATCAGCAACACCATTAAGGCAGCCTGCCGCTTGCGCAGATACAGGAGAGACATGGTGATGCCCGCCACCCATTCCCAAGGCAGCCCAAAGCGAGAGGTGGACGGGGCCATGATGCGATACCCTTTCAGAGCCCTGCGCGCCCGATTGAGTTGGAACCGACCGAACTCGCTCCGGACGAACCGCACTGCTGCGAGCAATCGCTCTCCAGCCTCCACTCCATGTCCCGCGAAATACAGGTGATCCAGATATTCCAGGATGGCTATGTCCATTTGCACCTCGCTGGCGGTTGGGAGCTGATTTTGGTTGGCCCATGTGGTGAACTCGTGAAACCGGTTCTGATAGTCGGTCCGCGTGGCTTCCCTCACCGATTTCCCCTCCAAATATGAAAGACTGTGTGCAGTACGGGTCGTCGTCCAACGGGCGAGCAGGCCCGCACGACATGCCACTCGCTTCCTCTCCTGCGCTTTGACCCTCAACTTCATCTCCAAGCGAGGGGCGGCAGAAGCAGCTGTCAACGTCAATGAAGGCGGGGCCGTTAGTGTTGGAAGTGCTTGCCTGATCATGGTTGTCACGGGGGCAGCCCGAGCCTTCGCGCTTGCATGACGAGAGGGTGGCCTGAGCACGCTGCAAGTCGCAGGGGTCGTCGAGTTCTTCACCGTATGTTTCCAAGGCGGTCGGAGCCCCATCCGGGAAATCTTCAAGACGTCCCTGCTGCAGCTTGCGTCTAGCTCGAGCCGCGCCTGCCGCTTTTTGACGAGCTTCAATCTCAATGAGCTGCCGTGTCATCCCTCGTCTACTTGGTCCATCAGCCAAATTAGCTTCCGAAGGGACCCACCTCCACCGTGGCTGTATGCCGCAAGCTATGCTGTAAGCAGCTACATTACGACAGCACTGTAAGAGACCGAAGTCTGATGCCCGTCCTTTAGCGAAGGCCAAAACCACTGACATGTTATCGGTGAGGAAAAGCATACGATGTCCATGATTTTGGGACGACCGTGCTGCGTGTCGCAGTGCCAACACTGCAACGCGCCCCTCTAAGACGTGAATAGCTTCTGGATGCTTCCACGTCCCCGACAAAACTTCATGCCAGCATTCTGGTCGCAAGAGCTCTTTTGAAATCTCTGGGAAGGTCTTCACTGCTCGCCAGGATTTGGCTGGCGGTCGAATC